GGTGGGCAGGGTGGGGAAAACAAAACAAAGCACAAGTATGAAGGCACTGATCTCGGGCAACCCCAAGCTAGGCAGCTGCTAAGCCAGAGCCCATCTCCCATCCAGGATGGTGTTTCCCTGGTTCAGGACGAGCATGGCTCAGACTCTGTTTAAATGGAGGAAGTAAGTCAAGGTCTCCTTTAGCAACTACCCTGGATTCGGCACATTAGGCTCCGATCCTGCAAAGACACCACCAAGAGGGGCAGAGCAAGTCTCACGCAGGGAAACAACTGTCCCTGTCTCCTACAGAGGCCGCAGCTCCTGATCCTCAGACAAGGATTCTCACCTCTGGGTCCAAGCAGCAGGTCCAGGCCTCCGAGGTGAGGCTGCTGGGTTCAGAGGGGAGAGGAAAGAAAACCAAGACGGAGCCCGTGGAGGTGAGAAGCAGGGGCGAAGGGGAGAGGCGGGTGGTAAAAGCCAAACGAGGGGGGAAAGACGGGAATAAAGAAGACAACTGGCGGGTGTCAGGTGGTTAGAGCGCCATCCTAATAAGCCAAAGTCATGGGTGGATCCCCGGTCAGGGCACATACAAGAATCAACCAAGGAATGCACAAATAAATGGGGCAACAAATCAATGTTTCTCTCTCTCTAAAATTAATAGATAAAAAAAAGAAAAAGAAAAGACGAGGGAAGAACAAAGGAGAGTCGAGAGAGGAGGCAGAGGAAAGTAACAGTTAAGAAAGTTGGGGGGAGAAACAGAAATGGATGAAGGAAGCACCAAGCCAACGAGGGGACTGGCGAGCACAGGAGATGAACTGGGGATGCTGTGGGTGTCTGCCTTCTGGGACTAGGCAACCATGAGCCTGTAGGAGGCAGGTGCCCCTCTGCAGGGCCACTGCACCCATGGCCAACAATCTCAGCGAGAGCTTCTTGATTGCAGTGGTGAGAGCTCTAGGTCCTGGGTGCTGGCGAACAGACCAGATGCCTCTAGGTGGTCAGGGTGACTGCACTTCAGCCTCAGGAGGTGGCAGGCAGCCCGGGCTCCCGCAGTGCCCTGGGCGTCAGTCTGTACGGCCCATCTGGAATTATGTCCTCAGGCCACACAAGTATTCTCTTGAGGTACAACCTCATCAGGGCAGGCCAACTAGGCGACACAGTGCTGTGTGGGAATGGTGGGAGCTGCTGAGCTCACAGGTCATCTGCTCCTTGAGGTCATGCAGAGGTCAACTGGTGCTGTCCGTGCCAAGCCACAGTGAGCTGCTCCAGTCCACCCGAGTGCGGGACCCTTGTCCTGCCCACCCTGAAGAGCTGCAGGCCAGACCTACCTCCTTCCGGGGTCGTGAACTCCTTGGTTTCACTGCGAGGCCCATCGCCTCTCCCATTGACCACAACCATCTCCAGCTTGTAGTTGCTGTAGGGAAAGAGGCGGGACACCACACCCCGGAGGCGGTCACCAGGGAAGCCGGCTTGCTGTCTCTTCTGAGACACCCACAGGCTCTTCAGTAAGCTGCTCTCCCTCCAGTAGTAGGCCTTCAGGACAGAGGCAGGCCGGTGAGGGGACGCCAGGCAGAGCTGGGTTAGTTGTTAGTGGTGGTGGTAGCGACCGGTCTTCCCTTTGCTTGCCACAGACTCCAGATCCCAAATGAACTCATCAGTCCCACACAGGGCTGGGGAAGTGGCCTGACAGTCCCCATTCATTAGCCACTAGCGAGTATGAATGGATGTCAAACAAGAAATAGGGCTTTTGGTGTGAATCACCTCTCTGGAGAACAGGCAAGTTGGCCAGACTTACAGCTGTGCTGCTTCACCATGAGCCTTATTTCCAAGCTGGGGGACAGGCTGCTTAGGAGTCTGAGCCAAAACCACAAATATAAGCCGAGGATCCAAGCATGGAAAGCTCTGTCCTGTGCTAAGAGATCACACCCCCTGAGTCAGTTTAGTAAGGTTTAAGACAGCAGAGGAGAGGTGAAAAGTAATGGGTTACCCCCAGAAGTCTGAATATGAGAAAGGGTAGAGAAACCCTTTGAAGTCAAATGTTTCTTTTAATATTGTTTGAAGACCTTTAGACTGGAATAGACACGTGTCCAAGTCAGTGAGATGCCAGGCTGCCTGGTGGCGAGAGCTTGGATGGGATGGACTATGGAAGGTGGCAGTGTCACAGTAATGTTGAGTCTGTGACACAGGTATGATTAGCATGGGTAGGAAGCTCCAGGTCAGGCTGCCGCACCAGCATCACCCAGGCCTCCAACCGCAAGAGGAGGAAGTGCAGACTTAAGAGGGGGACCCAATGGGCCCTTTAGCCAGAAAAATCTCCAGGCGAGTAGGTCAAGGGTACAAGCCAACTGTTAGGGAAGAGCTCGTTCAAGTGTATCCATCATCTTGCTTGCCTTCCCCCATGTTCAAATTCATTTCCAAGAAGAGACAGACCCCCTCCACTCTGCCCTAATTATCTACCAGCCAACGCTCAATGATCCCTGAGGTCACAGGACCTGTGTTATCCTGTGGCTATAGCCACCCTCCCCTCCCAGGCAATTTTAAATAGAGCCACTCATAGGAAGAGCCTTGCATACCCTGGGTTTTTCTCCCTTCCCCCAACTCAGCTCACCCTCTCAAAGAAGAGAGAAGATGAGCGGAAACTGCTTATAGGCAGGAGGACCAGGAGAAGCCATGAGCCCGGATAATCCGTGTCCTGGATAACCCGGAGCTGGCTGCGGCAACGGGGAAGGCCTTTGTACCCTTTTAGTGGTTACACCTGTTAGTTGGGGCTTCACAGAATCAGACTGGGTGAGGCAAGCAGCCCAGCGGGGACCATTAGGAGCAGGCAGGGGTAGCTCAATGGTGCTTCAACAGAGCCTCTGAGGATGCGTGTGCATCTGCTCACGTCTTACAAGTAGGTGTGCGATGCAACACCCACCCAAACCCACCACCTTCATGTGATTTTCTGCTGAGCAGAATCTCTCAGCATTTCCATTGTAGGACACAGCTGGAGGTGTGTGTGTCCATATATATATTTGAGTATAATTTTGAGGAGATAGACCTAGACATCGTCTTCTTGAATCAACTCTGGATTCAACAGCTACCCCTAGAGCCCCTTCCAAATATTTCATGGCCTGCATCTGCTACCCCCTTGCCCTGGTTACGGAGCTGGGTAGTTAGGCAGGGTGGGGAGCTGGCTTCCTCACTCGGTACTCTCTGAGCTGGCCCTGGACCGTGTCGGAGTAGACGCGGTTCCACTGAAGGCTGATGGCCGTGCTGTTCAGGACTCGGATTTTAACGTCAGTGGGTGCAGCCCTGGGATCTGCAATGTGTGGGGACAGAGAGCAGGTTATGCTGACAGGGCTGACCCCAGGACCCCAAGTTCCCCACAACTTGTTCTCTGCTGGCCATATCTCCACCCCACTCAGGACCCTGGGTACACCCTGAGGGCAGGGGCTATGCCTCCTCCATCAGGCTATACTTGGAGGAGTGGGGAAAGGCTCAGAACAAAATGGTGGCAGTTCAGGTAGGAGGGCAATTATTTGCTACCCTTACATGCCGGGTAGTCTGTTTGTCCCTCCATTCCATTCTCCACCCTTCCCCACCCTGCTCCATGTCTCAGGAGGCTGCTCTTTCTGGACCGTATCAGCTGGGCTCCCTTATTCTCAGGTTTCCAAACAGGAGATCCTGGGGCAGAAGGAGAGGCAGCTATTCCTCTGGCTGCCTGTTTGTGGGGCTGAGGGTGGACAGCGTTGCATTCTTCTGCCCAAGGCCATGTGGGTGGCCCTCGATGGCCATGGTGACTCACCCATCCCCTGACCCTTCAAGGCTCAGAGTCATTCCCTGCTGTGGCTAGCCCTCCAGGTGGCTCACCATACCTTGCTGTTTCCCCTCTAACCCCGTGCTCACACTAGAAATAGTTGCTTTGAGTGGCATTTGTTTCCTGCCAGGAAACATTACCAAAGGCGCCCAGTCCATGACTGCCGGAAAGGGAGGGCCACTCCCTCCTGCATAACTGATTCCTGCCCCCTTTCTCCAATCTGCTGCAGAAGCAGTTCTGCCCTATCCCCTCTACTCCAGCAGAGCAGAGGCCACAGGGGGAGACAGGTGCCATGGAAACTATGGGCAGCCCATGAAGCCCATGACCAGATGCTGCCTATTTCACACTTACCGTCCAGGAGTCTCCTGTCCAGAAGTGTCTGTCACCGTGGAGATGGGGAGTGGGATGGACAGAGGGCCTGCTGACGCCCTCTGCTTATCTCCCAAGTGAGTTCAATCCGCAATCACCTCCAGGAAAGTGGGGCATAGGGCCACTTTCTTCCCAGCTCACTGTTACACAAGCATCCACTGGCCCTACTCCTGACTCCAGCATGGCCCCTGTGACTTGTTCCTCTCTAAGACTCTCCCCAGCCCCCCTCCTTTTTGGTCAGTCACCCCATGATCTCTTCTTAGATCAGACCCAGGCCCAGACCCACTGGGGTATGAATCACCCTGTCCTGGGGGCAGTGTTACACTGACTCTCCTGCTTTGCTCAGCAGCCTGCTGGATTGATGTGCTGGGATGGATGGGAAACCAAGCACATGCTTCCACACATATGTCCAGAATCCTGTTGATTCATCCAGTGCAAGCCTCTAAAGAACGTCTCTTTCTATGCTCAATTCCAAGGGCAAAGAGCACCACTAGGAATACTGGCAGGTGACTGGTGTGGGTGCTTCCAGTCTGGGGCTCTGCAGACCTTCTCCACCCCTGAAGGCCTCCCTTGGGGAGCCTGGGGAGGAGTCTGGCCTGTGGCCCTGCTTCCTGTGGAGGAGTCTAATGGCTCTTGGGATGCACAGTCCTGAAGTCTTGCTTGGTGCAGCAAGAATTCGCAATGAGGTGGATCAGAAGGCGTGGGTTCTATTTTCATGTCTGACATTTGCTGTTGTGTAATACTGGCAGGAGTTTTCCTTGCAGGGCCTCAGTTTTTGCATCCGTAAGATGAGAGTATTGGGCTAGGCGATGATGTTCACTAATTTTAACTAGTGTTCAGATGACAATATTCTCGCTCCTGACATTATCAGGGGCCCATCTGATATTATGTAGGTCACTGTAGGGGATTTCTCTTTCCTAGGAACTAGCTGTCCTCCCAGGCTGTTCCTGAAGTCCCTCGACCCACCCCAAGTTTCCCAGTCTGTGAAGGTGGCCCTTATGCAGCCCAGTGGAGGGTCTGCGGTGGGGGACAGGGGAAGGTACTCACAATCTTCTCCTGAGTAACCGATGACAGTGTCTGGCTCGGGGCCCTTCCCAAAGTCATTTTCGGCCTGCACTCGGATCTCATAGGGCACGTAGACAGGGGTCTGCCCTACCACATAGCGGGAGCCCCACACTGTCGCATTGTTCCAGGACTCCCGAGCCTCTCTCCGCCGCCACTTGACGATATAGCGCAGGTTGGGGCCGAAGGCGGAGGTGGCATTCATGGGCTGAGGGGGGAGAGACAGAGGGCGAGGTGGAGGGGCCGGCAGGGGGTCCAGGCCCACCCATAGACGCATTCTCTTTCTATGTCTAGCACCCCACCCCGATCTGCCCAACACTGACCAGCCCCCCACCCTCGCTGAGTCCTTCAAGAGGGACTGAACCCAGCAGCACGTAGATTTTTTGTGACAAAGGTGTCACCCAAGACATTGTCACCATGACTCCCACATTTGCAAGTGCATAGGGAGCAAAAGCCTTATTTTTGACAGGACGCTTTCCTACGATGGAACCACAAGAAAAAATATAGATGATAATATAATATTCTCCAAAGTCAGAAAGGTGTGAGTTCTGGTTTAGCCACTGCATGCCTCCTGCCAGTGAACTCAAAATTACAGAGCTGGCTTCAGGTCTATGAATCCAGGCACGTCTGCTCCGTCCTTCCCAGCGGGTCAGAGTCTCTAGGAGTGGGTGGAACTCTGGTCTCTGTCCCCTAAGGGTCTGCCCAGGAAGCAGTCCCTGGAGCCCAAAGGACAGAGCGCAGACCACAAGCCAATGGTGCCCAGTCCGAGATGTGCCCCCTGCTGGGATCTGGCCCAGCCCCATTGCTAAGGCTGTTGGGAGGCCAGGCCCTTGCAGGATGGGGATGGTCTGGACTCCAAACACCGAGCGTCCTGTTTCCACCACTTGTGGCAATGACACAGAAGTGTGAGTATTTCAGCAGCCGAGTTTACATCTCTCAGACTTGGAAGTGGTTTGGAAAAAAGTCATTTTGAGGTGACACATCTAATTTTGATCTGGAAATGTAGTCAGTGGGCCAAAATGAAGATGGGGTTTTTCAATCCTGGCCTAGAGTTCTCTAGTCCACTCCTCGACTAAGAGAAGGTCTACACAGAAAATGCCCCAGCTGCGGGCCTCTCCTCACTCCCAGCAATCTCGTGAAAGGAGTCGGACACACGAAGGCGAGCACCGATGTTCATGGGAAATCCTCGCCAGAGCCCAACCTCAACCCCTCCTTCTTCTGAAGTCCACTTTATTTTGCTGCTTGTCTGTGAAGTTGCCAGATTGGCCCAGTCACCTCCGCTCCTCTGTCTTAAATCTGTCCGGATACGCTCCTGCTTGGTTTCTGGATGCCCAGCGCAGAAGAGCGGCCACCAGACCAACCAGGCCGCCTGAGCCACCCTCTGGCCTACGGTGTCAGGGGTATAAAGGGCGAGGGATCCCAGATGCACACTGCCGCCCTCCAAGGTCAGGCTGGGAGGGACACTCACCGTCCACGTGATCTCCATGTTGTTCTTCCTGGTCCCCTCTCCTTTCACATCGCTAGGATTGGACTCAGGGGCTGGAACCCAAATTGACACAAAGTTCAAGTTCAATTTGTGCCTTACCAGGGCGTGGTGAGCAACCTGTCCCTCTCACCTGCTCAGTCTCTTCCGTGCTTTTCCTCAGTATCTCTCTGCACTGTCTCATGGGCAACTGGACTTGCTCTGCCATTTCTCATGTGTGTGATGTGCTTTCCTAGCTAAGAGTTAACTCCCTTTTAATTTTAATCCCTCACCAGATAGATTTATCTTGAGGCTTTTCACACTTTAGATGTTCATATAGCCAACTCCATGTGGATTATCCCCTTTGTGGGTTATCCACTAAATATGTTTAATAGCAGGCTGGTTTATCCCCGGCATTTAACATTTTTGGGAATGTCAATGAGCTAGTGTGATTTCAGAAATCTAAATGTTACCCAGGAAAAGAAATCTGATAGAATACCAGATTACAGATTTCTGCAGCAAGTCTTTGCCACAGCTCTTCCCTTTAAAGCAGATCATCAAGAATTATTGGTAACATTGGTAATAATAAACATGACAGTTCACATGTATATAGTGCTTACTATATGCCAGGCATCGTGGTAAGTACTAGAATTGAATTTCAGTTGGAATCCTCACAATCCCCATGCTGGCAGGTGTTACTCTGTGTTTTACAGAAGAGGAGGCCAAGCCTTGGAGAGCTTAAGTTACTTGCCCAAATTCATGAGGCTGGGGCCTGGGGGCACCCAGTTTGAGCTCAGGGTGCCTGACTCCAGTGCCTCCTGTTAGCTCTTGAATACTCACGTGCTCCGCTGGTTCTGTAGCGCTCGGATGGGAGGCTGGGGTGGCTGCTGCCGACCTCGTTGACAGCAATGACCCGGAACTGGTAGTTGACATAAGGGGACAGCTGCAGGACGGCCGAGTTGACACTGCCTGGGAACTTGGAATGGTCATGCCAGACCCCTGGCTGGAACTGGTCCTCTTCAAACTGGACAACATAGTCTGAGTGGGCAAGGAAAACAGAGCTGTTTCAGGAGCTGAGTCGGCAGACTTCTTCCTTAACAGCCCCCCTCGTGACTTTCATTAGCTCAAAGCCTCCCTCTGGGAGACAGAGGCACAGGGAGAGTTCCTATCACAACACTGAAAGGGAACCAAGGCTTCCGTGTGTTCTGCAAACAGCCCAGGGCACGGGGCAGGTGAGGCAGATGTGGGACCAGACAGCAGGGAAGGCCTGATTGCCAGCTGCTCCCCCGCCCCCCGCTGAACTGGAGCGCAGGGCCCCGGCTGACCTGTGATAGGGCTGTTGTTGTCGTCCCCTGGGATCCAGGTCAGCCTCACGCTCCTCTCGGCCAGGTCAGTGAGCTCCAGGTCCCGGGGTCGGTCGGGCCGTCCTGGCAGCAGAGGGGGAAGACACCACGCAGGACTCCCAAGTTAGGGCCAGCCTGTCCTTGTGCTGGCCCCAGCCCTGGACACTGTCCCTGGAGGGCTGAGATCACCAAGGCAGGTACCATCCCCAGCCTGCCCAGAGGGTCAGCACAGGGACCACCCCTTTCCCTCAAGGGTTCAAGGAAGAACAAAGAGGAGACTCCAGTTGCACACCCCTCCCCCCAAGAGTATCAAGGATCCTGGCACAGAGAGAGGACTGGGACCAACCCATCCATTTCTGCAGGCAGCCTTAGCATGCAGGCATTCGGAAACGCTCTTCACTAGCACGTGTTCACAGCGTTTAGGAAGTCCAGTGAGCAAGTGTGCAGTTTTGTCTCACTTTCTCATGATTGTTATTTTCTACTCTGTTATGCCATGGCTCCAAGGGGCAGGGGCCAGAAGGGTGTTTGGAGCGCTGAGCAGGGAAGACAGTTCAGGGAATGGGAGGGACAAAGGGGACCAGGCCAGGGAGGAAATGGGGACATGGCCAAGAAGTTTCAGTGATGGGCAGAAGGACAGGAGCTCAGCAGGCTTCCTAACAGGGGTGTGGCAGCACCTTTTGGGGACTCCAGTCTCACTGGATTGCCTTAGGGGGTGTAAGTGCCATCCCGGCCTGGGGATAAAGCTGCCGTTGACTCAGGGGGTAGGCATAATTTCCCCCATAGGGCTCCTTGAACCAGCCATTTCCACATGTTGGCCGATTACTAGAAGAATCTGGAAGGTGAGTCACACGAGCCCACATTCGTGTACATGGACTGTACATGGGCACACAGTGCTGGACTTGGAGAGGCTGCAGGAAACATGGACCCACAGATAACTTGAAGCAAGTGGGCTCTCCTGACTGGACCGCACACACGTCTGAGAAGAGGCCACCCCATGGGTGTGGTGAGAGGCCAGAGGTAAAGGATGTGGGTGACATGGCAGCCAAGGACCTCTAAGCCCAACCTGCAAATGAAGCAGGCAGCCCGGAGCAGGGCTGTGATGCTCACGGCTCAGGGAGGTGGCTGTGGGCACTGGAAGGAGCTGATGGGGCAGGGCCTGGGGAGCGGGACCCACCACCCACACATAACACACCCTAGCTGGTAGCGATCTCCTCTTAGATCCCAACCTTCCCAAGCCTAGTGAGGGCTTGGCGAGGGTCCCCATTAGTATGAATTACCTTTGGGCAGGGCAGCCAAACGGTTAGTTGGAGTGGTCTGATCAGCTGCAAAGGTAAGACGGGTTATCTAGGTTAGCAGGTTATCTGGGGTTAGAGGTGTTCTAGAAGGCTGGGAACAGGCAGTGAGGCTGGAAGAGCTGCCCCGTGATGTGTTCCCTCCCCTCCACAGAGTCCCTCACTCCTTAGAGAGGCCCTCCTGTGTCTTCCATCTCCTTCCTGTCCCAGTGCTCCCCTCATGCCTGGGCCTTCCATCTCCTGCGACCGTGCACCTCCACCATGGAGGGGACAAGAGTACACCACCAAGAGTAACGGCAGTGGGCACCCAGAGAGAGGACAGAGGTGATGAGGGACAACGGGGGCTCTGCCTCCCTGGTTGGGGCGGCTCCTTCCCCAGGGTGGGGATGGCTTAGGATTTCCATTTCTTCCTGGATGACCTGGGATCATCTTGCTAAGTGCACAGCGCCCTGTGAAATCCACCGGGAAGCAGGGGGAGGGGAGGAAGGCTAGCAGAGGTGTTGGATGGACAAACACAAAAGTCAGTCTTGCTTTTATGACGGATCGTTTTAATGAACTTAGTGGTTTAGAGTTAGCTGTCAAGTTGGTAAAAATGACCACAACAGGAACCCCTTTCCACCGCCCGCTCTCACTCAGGTAAGGATTTGGGGAGTTAGTAATTCTACTTAGGAGGCCAGTCACCCAGCACAACTTGTTTTGAAAGGAGCAGCTTTCTGACCCTTAGATCAAAGGGCAGGACACGCCACGCCTGGCTGGCCCGCTGTCCACAGAACTGTGCAGGGCCCACGGCTCCTGTGGCTGCAGGAAGGGAGAGGTCAGTGCCACTGGCAGCGGCAGTTACCTAGCACAGTGAGGTAGGCCTTGGCCAGGTCCTGGTCCAGCTCGGTGCTGGCGACGCACGTGTAACTGCCCTGGTCCCGCTCGGCCACACCAAAGATGGTCAGGGAGTCGTCTTCCTTCTTCATCCTGCAAAGGGACCCGAGGGGTTGGGAGGAGGGCGAGTGGGGAGAAAATGGGGGGGAAGGACAAGGGGAGTGCCAGGCACCGTCTGCTGCTTTCTCCCCGAAGCAGGGTGCTGAGTGAGAGCGGGAGGGAAGTCTCTCAGGCTGGGCTGGGCAGCCTCAGCCCCTCCTAGGGGACACTTAGCCCCATCTCGATGCTCTGGGAGAGAGAGGGTCTTCACCGGCACTTAGGTGCTTAATAAGGGGAAAAGAAACACGGCGAGGCTAATGGGGCCCTGAGCCGTGCTCACGGTCCTCAGATCACACACTGCTCTCTGTGCCTTCCTCGCACTGTGCGCCCCTCCCAAATTAAAGCACAGTTAGACCCACCCCCAAAAGGCAGATGGAGACCTCTCCTCTTCCCATACTCCAGTCTGTCTTCAGCCCAGACCGGCCTCTGCACCTGGGCTTAGGCCAGGTGCCCGTGCTCCTCTGAACCGTCACCCACAGAGGGAGGGCACCAAAGCGCAGGCGGGCTGTGAGCATCGGCTGAGTGCCAAATGTCTGTGCCTGCCTCAGGGGGCACCCCTGCAAAAAACCAGGTGGTTGCTGGGAACAGCTGGTACCTGTGGCCAACCTTAGGGAAAGAGAGTACGGCAAAGAGCCCTGTGGGGGGAGGCCTGGGCCCTGACTGCCGTGTATAAACACCTGTGGGGATGTGTGAACACTATCAGTGCCCAGCCCTCCCCCCACACCAAAGAACTCCAAATCTGGGGTGAGGAAAGGGGCAGGCTTGGGTCTAGTAAAAGCATCCCAAGTCCAGCAAAGGTTGAGAACCACACTAACCAGAGTGGTCCTGGTCGGCTCGGGCCAACCCTGCCCCCTGCTGGAGAATAGGGGTGCTGCAGGCAGGCTGAAGATGGGGCTGGGCTCCCGGCTGTGATGCAGAGGAGGAGGGAGGGGGTGAGGCGAGAGAAGTGAAGGGAGAAAGGAGTTGGAAAGAGAAGAGAAGGAAGGAGAAACAGAGAGCTGATGGGAGAGAGGGAGAAGGGTGCAGGGTAGGGGTCTCCCCTGAGCTGGGGGGAGGGGGGCGTCACCAGGACCATCTTGCACAAAGCAGCAGTTCCTCAATGACATGCATGAACAGGTTCCTGACCCCTGGGACCTTCAATGTGTCGAGCAAGGGAAAAGAGAAGGGCCCCCAACTAGCACCAGGAGGAGGTTAGGAAGGTGCGGAGACCTGCTCCCGATGTATAGCGGCTGGTCGTCCTTCAGCCAGGACACCGTGAGTTTCAGGGAGGGGTCGTGCTTCACCCGACACTCCAGCTGCACTGTGGTGCCCTTTTTGGCAATTTGGTCCTCAGGCATCCGGAAGATCCTGGTGGGGTCTGTGGAGAAACCCAGGGTGCTCGTCAGTGACACGCTCCCTGCCCAACATCCCAGCATGGACATGGCCTGACATGGAGATGGCAGACAGAGTAGCCCGCTGTATGAATGGGGGAAAGCCTGGTGCGGGGGATCACAAGTAGTAAACAATCCCCAAACCCTTGCTATCTGGCTCTGAAGATATGGTGCAATTTCTGGGGTGGCAGTGGGAGCTGGTGTGGGTAGGTCTTGGTCCTAATGCCATCTGGACCAGGCTGATAATGCCTTAGTGTTCCCAGCACCCAGGCAGCCGGAAGCCCTGGGAGGACACACAGACCTATTGGGAGTGTCCCACTGGGGATTAAACATTAGGTGTGTGCATTTTCAAAGTGAAAGCACACGCGGATAACTTGGAGAAGACAGCTTCCTTTCCCGGCTGGCCCCTGCCCTCCACCCCAACCCTCTCCTTTACCTTTGACCTCCAGGCGGACCTGGTTTTCAGCTTTGCCCAGGATGTTGGTGGCAACACAGGTGTAGATGCCTTGGTCCTCTTTGCGGATCATCTTGATTTCCAGACTGCCGTTCTCGTAGACATGGTAGTTGCCACCATCCAGGTTGCTTCCTTGCCCATTCTTAAACCTCACGACACAGCAGAAGAACACACAACACACTGAGAAAGGACTGGCCCGTGGGAGTGGGGGCAACCACTTGAGAGAGTTTGGGCAGTGGAAGGAGCTCCACGCTAGGAACCTGAAGCTCTCATCCTTGTAGGGTGTGCCTCTAACCACTGAATAGCCCTGGCAAGTTTCTGGTCCCCAGTTTCCTTCTCGGCACAAGGGGGGGGTGACCCAGCTGATCTGCCAACTTTCTCCCAGCTTTGACCATTTAAGGTTCCCAGGCCTTGCCGAATAGCTATTATGGGCCAGATGGGTATGAAGGAGGTGAGACAGGTGACCCCTGTGGGGGAGGTCCGGTCTCCTGGAACTTACCATCGGAGTGTGGGGATGGGGGACCCAAAGAAGGGACAGTCCAGTCGCGTCCGGTTGTACAGGATCACCCGAATGAGCTGGTTCCGTGGGGACAGCATCCGAGGCGGCACATCTGCAATTCCCAGACAACCGATCTTGGGTGGGGAGTCTAACTTCCATTTCTTTCCCTTGGTCTTATCTCTACCTGCCTTCTCCATAGTGCTTTCCAAGTGCCAACATATCTTCCCCTATCACATGTCTCCTTTAAAAAGCCTCCAAGGGTTAGGTGAGGAAGGGAGAAGCTTTTCCACTCTCAACCTACCCTCCTTCCAATCCAGCTTCTGCAAAGGGTTCCCCCAAGTTATCCAGCAGGCTCTGCACCTGCCCTCCCACTGCCCCGCTCTGGGAGTGCTGCAAACATCTTCAGAATAGTCTTCCACTCTGCGAGCCATTGAGAACCCGGGAGTCAGCACAGATACACCAAGGAGACGAGACAGGCCCACTCTGGGCTATCAGGGCAAGGAGGGACCAAGGCTGACTTCTAGTGGGGAATCCACTCTGTCTACACACCGGGCTCTGTGGGTTTCAAGTCCTCCCTCCTTCCCCAAAATCTCACTGTCAGTCCCCATGCTTCCCCAGCCAGCCTGGCTCGTCTCTGGAGAAGAACGTGCGCCCATGACATGACGACCCCAGAGGAGCAGCATTGCAGGGGGGCGGGGGGGGG